ACATTTCACCTATTAAGTATATTTCAAATAATAAGGGAGAAGACACCAACTATAAGAGATAACAATAAACTTCTTTCCAATTAGTCTTTCAGGTAAGATTTCCCAATTCCTTTTACAGTAACTTTTGTACGAACACGACCACAAAAAGCATTGAAGAAACAGGTCAGCTAAAAACTGATTCTGTGCGATCTCCCCAACAGCAATTCTGTTTGGTACCAGTATTGACATAACAAGAACTCAGGCCTCAGCTCTTCTCTCCTCAAAGTTAATGCATGAATTATCTAACAGCAAAATCAGAAACTAAATTGGTGCTTTTCAAAAGTATTATTGCTTACTAAAAATAAATACCAGACAGACTTTAAAAATAGGTTTTATTTAGTAATTGAAAAAATATACATTGAACTGGATATTTGGAAATTAATCCTACATTACTAAAATAGCTTAAAAAGTATTATTTGAAAGATAAACCGACAGTTGATTGTAAAAGCCTAGCCCTGTTGCACTTCACAGTTTAGCTTTAACTGTAATGAGCACAGGGGGTTATTAGTTTTTAAGTAATTGATTTGTATTTCATACATATATAGGTCATTATTAATTCATTAGTACCTCAATCAAAAGTTTAGGTTCTACTTTACAAAGGTTATTTACACAGAGAAACATGGGATCTATGCAATATCCTAAAATCAAAGTGCTTCTGAGGCTGTGCAGTGCTCAATGCTAAAACCAATGTAAACAAATTAAAATAGTACAGATGAAGTTTATAAATTACCAAATTCTGTAGCATATGGAATACACACAAAACACATCCACAAAAACATGAATGTGACTGCAAATTGATAAATAAACAATAAATAAATAGTAGAATTTCCATAAAACAGTAAATTATTGTGTCCATTTTGAAAAATGGAGGCAAGCATTATTAACAGCTAGCACAAACTAGCCAGTTTCAAACATATTTTATTTATGTAAAATATTAAATCTCTCCTGAGATCTGTTTGTGCATTAAAAGGCTTACATTATTTATCTTGTGGTGGTTTTTGTTCTTCCAACATAGCTTAGCATTCTCTTGCTTCCGCAACACTATAATTAAAAGCCTTCCTCTGATTTCAGCAATACAGTGTTATTCTTTAGCCAGAGTCAGCTTTAAGCAGACATGAAAACACACAAAAAATTTAAGGCAACCTCATAAAATCTGAGTCCAATCATTCCAACAAGAATGCCTTTGCTCCAATCTTAAAAACTACTTTAAACTAAGTACTGATTTTCATTCTTTGCGACTCCTTCCTCCACTGACTCTGTTACCCACAGCTCAGTTACAATTTTAAATTTTTTCCCAAATGTTCTCCTGAGTGTTTTCATCTCTTTTACCCGGGAATGATCTTCTCCTATAACAACATGGGAGACACCTTCTACAAGGTGAGAGACTACTTTTGCACCATAAAAGCGGAGCTCCAAAGCTCTAATTGATAGTGTTATTCCAGGAATTTTGCTTTTAGGCTCATTAACAATGGCATAACAGTCCACATAAATAGTGTTTCCTCTGAATATACTGAGCTGACAACTGTTCCATGAATAACGTTCTTCTATCTCTGCAATTATGTCCAAAGGCATTGCTTTATTGTCTTTCACTCTTGAGAACACTTCCTTGAGCTGTGCAACATCTGTGTTTGCTGTGTAGCTGTCTCCATAACAATCATACTCACGAGCAAAATGTTCTTTTGTGTCAGGAGACATGTGAATCATAAAGGCTGGTTGCCAAGGCACCAGCATTTTGGTTTGAAAACATTGAAGGAGCCACTCTGCCCTCACCACATCATATTTGTTGGAAGCAATGATGTTTTTCACTCTGACATTCTCAGCTCCTGCAATGACACAGTAAGTCTCCGGCCCTGGGTTCTGTACCACACTGCCACCACATTCGGCTATTCTGCTTTCCAGCTCAGACTTTGTGTATTTCCCCGTTCCTGTCATAACACAAAACTCAACATCTTCAAATACATTTGAAACCTTGTTTACACTAGAAAGATCAGGAGCTTTAAATTGCTCAGCTATTCCAATTACCTTCCTCACTTTTGAAACAGTTTTCCTTTTTTTCTCATGTGGCTCATCATACTCATCTACATGAAGGTGCTTAGATGCCAGTTTCCCTTCTGCTTTGCTTCTGAGATCTTCTAACATGTCTGAAGTCATGCACTCGTACCATTCTTTGTCCTCTCGTATCTTCTCGATTCGGGGGAATCTCAAAGTACAGTCAGTTTTGTACATATCACTGTCAACAATCTCGGCTGCCTTGATCTGAACTATGACAGAGTTGCAAGGTTCAATGTACATTTCAGGTTTTTCCGTTCCACACAAAATGTTACAGGGAGGGTCCTTCCTTTGGTAGGGCTTCCAGTATTTCGCCAGTTTCAAGCCTAGATCATACAACTCCTTCATAGTATAGCCAGAGCCAACACGACAAATTGAGTGGAAAATGGTTGGTTTTTCATTTGGAGGGGGCGTCTCTGCAATAGCGCACAGAAAATGAGACATCATCCCACCACGTGACCCCTTTCCCCAGTAACCACCAACAATTAAAAGGTCTAGTTCATCCATCAGTCCATTCACGTATTCTGGCTTGATTTTTAACCAGCCTTCCCCACGTTTGTCAGGCTTGTAGGTGGACATGGGATCTTTCACCATAATCCCTTCCTCTCTGTTATCTATTGCTTCATTTAAAGCATCAATTACTTCTTTTCTTGTTCTGGCACTTTTCTTATGTACAATATGCATCCTGCCCTTTACCGGGGTGAACAGGCTACTTAAGATTTCATATCTTTTGCTTAGTACTTCGTGCCCCAACTTCTGATCGTTAACCATCAATACGTCGAACACACAGAAGCAGGTCTGCAGATCAGAGTCCTCCACCATTCTTTTTATGTCAAATTTGTTTCCTTTTTGCATAAAGGTTTGTGTCTCAGGATTGTAAGCCATCATTTCACCATCGAGAATGCAATTTTGTATGTTGCTTTTAAATACATTATGAATAAATGGTGTTAATGAACCTTCAAGGGGTGAAGCACCAAACTGCTGAGTATAGTCAAACCCATTTCGGGAAAAATATTTATACACGTCCCCATCTTTGTGCATCTGCATACGTTCACCATCCAGTTTAGTTTCTATGTAGAATATCTGGTTATTCATCTGTTTCTCAATTTGCTGTACATCTGCAATAGCAGCAAGCATTGGTTTAAAGGCAGAAAACAACATGATAGAAACATCACTAAGTGAGACAGAGGGATCATGCAGCTGTCTGCAAACCTTTTCTAAATCAGTTGTGACGTTGTGTAATTCAGCAGCATCAGGATGAAAAATGGAAAATATAGTTTGTTGACTAACACCAAGCTTTAGATCCTTTATAATCATCCGGATGAGCCATTTTTGTTCCAGTGCTGTGCTCTGGGTAATTAACTGAAGAAGACTTTTCTTTAACTGACCCTTGTTTTTAGCAGCATTATTATTAGCTATCGCATCTAAGTGTTCATTGACTTGTTCTATTGTCAGTCTGCCTTGTTTTGGGCTCCTAGGTTTTAGCACAAAGTATGCAATCATTGCAAAATCTCCAGCATCTCCTCGTGAGCCTGTAGGTGTTCTGTAATTTAAAAGCTTTGCAGCATCTTTTCCATCTTTTGGTAAATGAAGCAATTCGATATACAGCTTTGCAAGCATAGTTTCTTTAATTCCATATGCCATCCTTTCTCTTTCCAGCTGTGGAAGAATAAGTCGCATAGCTGGGTAAAAGGAATCTGTGACACCTTTCTCTTTTTGGTGAAGTGCATCATGGAATTTCCTCCAGGAATCCAGAAAATCCTTAAAATACTTGGTTTTCTCCGGACGAGATTTACACTTCTGTATTCGCTCCAGAGTAGAACACAGATCTGCAAAAGGCACGTGAGAGGCCACCGTTTTTTTAGGAGGCTGCGAAACAGGTGCAGAAGCCATCAGTCTGCTTTTCATTAAGAACAAAAAAAAAAGTATATATTTTTAGAGAAAGTGACATCACATTATTCAAAAAAACTGCATCTCGAATTAGTATTTATATTTTTCCTTCTTTTTCTAACTAAGATTTAACCGTTATCTTTACTCAAAGGTCATCAGCTAGTACCACCGTCCTTAGTTAAGGGTCACACTCATCGGTGGTGCTGCGACACTGAAACACTGGCATCACCTAGACTGAGGACTGACTGCAAGGCAGAAGGCAGCGCGCTCCCCTCCTGTTGCTGCCCAGGCAGGAGCTTTCACTGCTCGGAGACCAATTTCCTCCTCCACCCCGCTCGAGAACGCAGCCTGCTCCCGACACCACCCGCCTTCGGGCCCTGTCGCCCGGCCGCTCCCCACCGTCTGAGGGAGCGGTGTCCAACGGGGCCGGCCCCCTCCCGCGGAGAGGGACCACACCCGCCCACCCCACAGCCCCCTGTCACGGTCACGGGGGGGGAGCGGACACTTCCCGGGCGGGCACCTCCTGCTCTGCACGGGAGGAGACAGCCGGGGCGACGGAGGCGCAGCCACCCCGGGGGAGACTTACGTGGATCCGGGGATACCTGCAGTAAAGGGCTGACACCAGCTGCCCCCCCCCCGGAAGAGGAGGAGCGGCCCGGTGATGCCGTGGTCCGCGCTCCTCCCCCGGGCCGGGGCGGGGAAGCGCTGGCGGAGCCCCGGGTGGAGGAAGGCGGGGAGAGAAGGGAAAACGGCCGGGCGGTGACCTGGAAGCGGAACCGCGGTTGCGGTGACTTCCTGCCTCGGGAGGAAGGAGCCGTGGTTGAAGTTGCGCGTCGGGGTCTGCGCTGGCCCGAGGCACCGGCGGCGGCCGCCCGGGAGGATGCGGCGGGTGGGTCTCGCCGCCCTGGGGCCGGTCCCGCCCCGCGGGGAGGGCGCTTGGCAGGGGGAGGTGGTGGCCGGCCCCCGCCCCGTGAGGCCGCGGCGGGGCGGGCGGGAGCCGGGGCAACGGGGGCAGCCGGCAGGTTTGGTTGTCAGTTTGGTGTTTGGGATCTCTCCGTGGATAAATGCGGCTTTTCCCTGGGAGCGGCTGGCAGGCCGGTGCTGTCCCGGGGGTTGTGCGGCTCCTGTGCCGGCCTTTCGGGACGTACCTCCCGAGGAGCTGCTGCGTTGACAGCGCCGCAGAAGTTCCTACAGGTGCCTCCCTGCGAAGCCCCGGGAGATCTTTAGCTTCTTGGTAGCAAGGTCTTGCTCTAGTGTTTCGTTTGTCTCCGCTGCCGTATGGAACAATTCCTGCAAATGGGGATGCTTGTAGAAGGTTAGGCTGCTCATGATAACTTTAATGTTCTTACTGTGCCAAGTGACTGTATTGGCAAGGCTGAACCAGGTGGTTGTCTTAGGTAAAAAAGAAAATATTTTAACATGCTTGTCAAGTAATATGTTTTAGAAGCCTATGCTCACTAGAAAGCTAAGGTCGTAATATAGCCAGTCTTGATTAGTTCTTGTTTTGGCGGTTTTTTACTCATTATTGTCATTATTCAAGACATGCCTCTAAGGTTCATTAAGACTTGTCGGTTATAAAAGGAGGTGTAATAAGAGTTAAGAGGAAAACACTTTCAATTATGAACATGTGCAACCTGATGCAGAGTTGTGAAAATTCCCTGTTTGAAATAAGTAGGATAAGTGGCTTGTTGATTTTAAAAGCCAGAGCCTTTAAATGTGTGACACTTAGTTATTCTTACTGTGCTTTTTCCTTTATTGGGAGTCACTGCTTTGCTATCATTTTTCCTTTCTCTGTCTTTTTTTTTCATGAGTGTCTCTGTAGGATTTTAGTACTAAGGAAGTGTATTTTTCCTGTCTTCTAGGTTTGTAGATTGTAGCTTGTAAATTTTCTTTCAGATCAGTTCCCATCTGAAATTAATTTTTTACAGTTGAGGACTTAGTATTCCTATTTACAGGAGTCTTCTGAATAAATATGAATAAATGTAAAGCTTGAGCAAATCTTATCTGTGTTTGGAGCAGGCAGAGTCCAGGAGAAGGAAGTGCAGTAGAAACCAACAGATGTCTTTTGGCATTTCTTAAAAACACAGAGAAATACCTGATTTTGTTTGTTTATTTTGAAATCCAAAAGATTGCAGTGAGTGCTAAGACTTAGCTCTTAAATGAGGAAGCAGCCATTAAACACTGGATTGTGCTTCTTAGCACTAACTTTAAGGCTGCTCATACACTAAAAGTTAGTTTTAAGGAGACAATGTAAATCTAGCATAACTTCATTTTTATGCACTATGTATATTATATACTGTGTACTGTATGTATAGTCCAGGACATTTTGATGTGATTCTTGAACTTCACTGTAAAATGTTTTCAAGTTCATCAGATGTTTCAAACAAGTGTTCAACTTAATAGGTGGAGCATGAATATGAAATGCATAATTTCATCAGTAAAGCAGTTGTAGTTCTAGGGGTTTGGATGCTAGCACTTCTTAATTTTCTTACAAGTAACTGAAGACAAATGGTAAATTATGTGTGTAATTCAAAGCAATTTTACTCAATTCATACATGGAATTGTCTTTCAGGCAGAGATGAAGCCTGGGAAATCATCACATCTAAAGGTAAATGCTTTATAATGTGATTGGTGTATGAAAATGACCCTTTTTTAATATTGAAAATATGGACCAAGACAAAACAACAGGATTTGCGACAGATACAAGAGTAATTTCAGCTGCCATTCAAAATGAATGAAAAATTATTCACAAGTACTCTAACTATGCACTTGAGTTTTTGTGATTCTTCGGTCAGTAATAGCATTAACCAATTAGGAATAGCATTAGGGCAAAGCAGAATATTGTTCAAGTACCTTGATCATAAAGACCTTATTTTTTTTCTCAGAATTTTTATTGTTGTGAGTGATTTGTGTTTTCAGTAGTTACCTAATTATGAGATTTGTAGCTCATCTGATAGAACATAAAGGTCTGCAATAGCTCCTGGACTGTGGATTCAGCAGTGGAGATGTATAGACACAGGGACGTGTGTATATCAACATATGTGTATATCCCTCTGACATAAAATTGAAACTCATCACTTGCAAATTTCCTTTCTGTTTTGAGGGGCGATACAGTTATGTGGCAATGTAAACTGAACTGGTCTTTAAGCCAAAGGTACAGCAACAGTCTGACTAAGTCTTACTTTCATTGGGTCAAGGTTGAATTAGGCTGTATTGCTGTTCCTGTGTGTTAATGATTTCCACAATAGAACTTTGTATTTCAGTACTGTCTTCTGCTTGTCTTTGAAGTATACAAGCATCATCAAAGAAATACTTGTAGGAAGCATCAAGATTCCCAAAGGCTAGCCTTTCTAATGCACATTATCAGAGGGACAGGAGGAAATGTGAAGCATGTGGATGGTAGAGGAAAGACCTCTAATCATATTTGTGAATAAAAAAACATTATGAGAACGATGGAGAGGAACTGAATTTATATAGTCTGGAGAAAATGAAGGTAGGTTTCGTATTTGGAGGTTAATAAACATTGAACCTAAAGTGAAGAATTTAAGTAATAAGTGTCCCTTCTTTTTAGGTGTATTAGGAAATATTTTCCAGTAGTAAGAGTAGCTAAGAACAAGAACAGCATATGTAGGAATTAACATTAACATAAGAGTTACTTAGGAAAACATCTACCATATAGAACTGTATGGTTCTGCTGTTGTTGACTATATTTGTCACAGACATTGACTTTTGTGACAAGTTTTAAAAAAATGCCCTTATGCTTGTTTACATAACCTTTAACTTAGTTTAAATAATCAGCAGTTATAAAATACTGTGGATGCTGTAAAATGGGATGTGACTCCTTGTATAGGAAAACTTTTCTTGCAAAGTCATTTGCAAAATTAAACAATTACTTGAAATACGGTGCCGTAATACAATGTTCCTTCAAATTTTTTTTTTTTAATTTTTTTAGTGAACCAAGAATGAGTTCCAGGGAATCAATGTTTTGTCTAGGAGATTTGAAAACGAAACCTTTAGAGAAACCTTATTTCCCTGTCTGATACAAAACTTCCACTAGACTGCCACTGGCCAACTAGCTGACTTCCCTTGGTTCCCATGTCTCCATCTGTAATACGAATGATGTTTCATGTTATCTCTTTAGAGAGCTGTAGAGGCAATATAACTGAGGTAACAGTAGAAGGCAATATAACTGAGATAATCCTGTTAAACAGCCATGAAAAAAAAATTACCTAGTCATACTTGCATAAGACAGAAATTGATTGGAAAGTTCTCTTTTAGAAGGCATAAAGGTGTGCATGCTTCTTGCCATAACTAGGACATCAGTTATGGAGCAAGTCCATGAGTGGTTCTTGTAGTCCAGGAAGAGAAGCAGTCTTGTCTAGAAAGAGGGACAGTTTTGTCCAGGTGGTGGGTTTGCTCTGTTTCTTATTTTAACCTGGTCAGACATCAAAGTCTAAATGCATTGTTCTCCCTTTCCTATCCCTCTCTCACACCTTTCCCTGACTATTCTGGCCCCCTATTAGTCAGAAAAATTAGAGATACAGGAGAATCGTAACACATGCTCTTCGTACCTCAACACAGAGTTTTTGCATGATGAGATGTTACATTGTAAAGTGTTTGAAAGATGTATAACTTCCCATCCAGCACAACAGGAGTGGGAAATGAAGTGTCTGTGTGTTGTCTTGCAGTATATTGAACAGTCTCAAATCTCATACTCTTCAAACAGTCTTAAATCTCATACACTTCAAAAAATGCTGACCTTATTGCTCATTGAAAATTACTATATTAGCTTACCCTTTTTATTTCTGTCCTTCAAGTGGAAGTTTGGTTCTGTTTGTATCATCTTCTGCTGTTCAGCTCAAACATGACAGTGTTTGGAAGGCCTGTTGCATTGGGCTCCATAGAAAGCATGGATTGTAGCTTTATTGACAATAAGCTTGTATTGATTTGGTTTAGAGTCTCTTCTAGGCCTGCATGCTTGTTTGAGAAACCATCTTTTATCTCTGCAGTGATCTTTCAATTGGTATTGGAAGAAAGCGGGGAAGAACCTAGAGAAACTTACATCTTAGTTGTCTAGCTGACAAATCTTGCAGCAAGATGTGAAGTATGAGATATGGGCTGATTCCAGCCTGGAAGTGAATGGAACTAGTTTCTCATAACTGGGAGGAAAACTTTAATGGTAATGTAGTTATTCATTAGTGCAGAGTAGTCCACTTTATTTAAATATGTACTGAGCATGAAACATTTGTGGCTGTGTAGTTTGCCCTTCCTGTTAACTACTATGTGTTGAGTTCTAGTTGTAGGATGCATTGGTTTTAGAACTCTAGTAGCAAAGTTTATATATGTGTATATATATATATAATATATATAAAAATATATATATTTATATATATAATAATCACACAGCAGCAGTATCTCAGTAGTATAGCATTTTGATGATGTTAGCTTACTAAAATAAAAATAGAAGCGGTGCACAAATGAAACTAAAGTCAACTGTATCAGTCTTCAAGTAACAATCCTTAGTATATATGGGCATTTTGCTAAACTTCATCACTTTGAGATTTTTGTTACTTCTTTGTCTTTTATTAGTTTTGTTTAGTGATGGGTCTCGTACTCTTGTGAATGTCTTGATGAGAAAGCATTTTTGGAGTCTCATTTGTAAGGAAGTCAACAAAATTTTGAACAGATAGGGAGAATGGTTTTACTCTCTCATTGTAAGTGTTCTTTTAGCCTTGAAATGTAATGCAGGAAATGTTTGTTAACTTCATTAGGAAGTTCTCTTAGAAATTGAAGTAGCTACTTTATATGTCTCCTAATATGAGCTTATAAATAATACAGGAGAACAAAGCTGGGATAACTGCTCTTTTTAACTACTTTATATTTCACCAGTTTTATGTATTTAGAGTAGATACGGTATATAAAATCTTAATTTCACATTGTTTTTGGTTAATATGTAAATCTTTAGATGTAACAGATTATTTTTATTTCTGATTTATTTCTAATTGTTACATAAAATAGTTATACATGGCAGTTTTTCCTGGTCAGATTGGGTGCTTAACATATCTGTGGAACACAAAAGCTGTGGCTGCAGAGGTCACCAGTTATCACTTGATCCTACCAAGATGGCTGGTGCAGAATGCTTGAATGCATCTCTGCATGTCATACTCCTTTGGATTTAATTCAGATTCTTCCTGCATTACATCATTTCAGGAGGTTATAACTTTGTGTCTAAACTGTAATTATTACTGCTTTATGACTTAGTTTTGTTAAACAAGTGAGCTTGTGTTGTCATTCCAGGCAGTGTGGCAACTGAGTGGTGTACTGTAGTTCTCGTGTAGGTTTGGCAGTTTTTGCCTGTTTCCATATTTCACTTGAACCCAGCAGTAAATACTGTGAGAGATTATATGTGTGCTGGGAGATGTAACTGTCTCTTATCATTGGAAGGAAGGTTTAATCTATGGTCGTTAACATCACTCTCCTTGTTTTATGCTGTATGCATGTTTTTGTCATGAGTCTGTTTTCAAGTTTGGTCCTTTCAACAGTTGTGCTTTTCATTGACCAGAGAACAGCGTAGTTAGCTGACTGTTTTCAGTGGTCTTGTGTGATGATACAATCTTCATTCAGCTAAAGACTTAATATGGATTACTGATCTGATAGTGGAAAACTAGCATTATAAATCAGAAACAATCAAATATAGCAAAAAAAGCTGTCACAAATGTAACTACAGTGTGGTATCTTACTATAGAGGAGTCTTTCTTCTGACCACTTCACGTGTTGCTCTGTAATCACGGTTGATTGAGATGCTGAAAGACAGCCACCAATAACAGAGCCAGGATGCATGGTGAGCCTCCACTGGCTGCAAAGTGGTGTGCACAGGCTTACTGAATGCTACTTAGCAACTTTAAATAAAGGCTATTTTTGTTTGTGTTCTGGATTTTAGAATTACTTATATAAGCTTTGACAAACTGGTGATACGGTCTGTATGGTTGTTCTCTTGGGTACTAGGGAAGACAGGGAAAGTGTAAGTTACTATAGTCTCAGTCAACCAATTTTCTAGTGCTGTTAATGGATTTTGCTGAAATACTGTAAATGGGATTTTGAAGAATTCTAAAGCCTTTCCTTATGATTGCTTTTCTGCTTGTTTTTACAGAGTCAAATGGTTTCCAAAAAGGGAGTTTGCCACCAAATTTGATGTTAATACTCCGATATGTTGACTTACCATTAATGTTCTGCAAGTATGAATGCTTAAATCACTTCATTTTTCTTTTCCCTATATTTATATGCATACCTCTGGCTTTTTTTTTGCAGGATTTACTTGGAGTAAAATATCACTGACTTCTACAATGGAAAAATCATGGATGCTTTGGACCTTTGTTAAAAGATGGCTACTAGCTTTGGCTTCCTGGTCTTGGAGTCTCTGCCGTATTTGTCTTTTACCCTTGATAGTGACTTTCCACTTGTACGGAGGCATTATACTACTTATATTAATATTTGTATCAATAGCGGGTATATTATATAAATTCCAGGATGTGCTGCTTTACTTTCCTGAACAGCCGTCTTCATCACGCCTTTATGTTCCTATGCCTACTGGTATACCACATGAAAATATCTTCATCAAAACCAAAGATGGAGTTCTTCTCAATCTTATCCTGCTGAGATACACAGGGGACAATGCAGCTTATTCTCCAACCATCATTTACTTTCATGGCAATGCAGGCAACATCGGCCACAGGTTGCCAAATGCTTTGTTAATGCTGGTAAACCTGAAAGTAAACTTGATTCTGGTCGATTATAGAGGGTATGGAAAAAGTGAAGGAGAAGCAAGTGAAGAAGGCTTGTACTTAGATTCTGAGGCTGTGTTAGACTATGTGATGACTCGGTCCGATCTTGATAAAACAAAAATTTTTCTTTTTGGCCGTTCCTTGGGGGGAGCAGTAGCTATTCACTTAGCTTCTGAAAATTCCCATAGGATTTCTGCCATCGTGGTGGAGAACACCTTTCTTAGCATCCCTTATATGGCCAGCACTTTGTTCTCTTTCTTTCCAATGCGATATCTTCCCTTATGGTGCTACAAAAATAAATTTCTGTCCTACAGAAAAATCTCTCAGTGCAGAATGCCTTCTCTCTTCATCTCTGGGTTGTCTGACCAGTTAATTCCACCAGTTATGATGAAGCAACTTTATGAATTATCCCCAGCTCGGACTAAGAGATTGGCAATATTTCCTGATGGAACTCATAATGACACTTGGCAGTGCCAGGGTTATTTCACTGCACTTGAACAGTTCATCAAAGAAGTAATAAAGAGTCACTCCCCTGAAGAAATGGCGAAAACATCATCTAATGTAACAATAATATAATTGATATTCTTCTTTGGGGTAGGGTGGGGGGAGTACCTGCACTGTAACTTGATTTGTGATAAGTGGTAAAAGAATGTCCATTTTTAAATGTATGTCATGTCTGTACTTGCCTAAAGAGTGAAATTAAACTTGGAAAGATCTGATATTTTATTAAGGTGTTCCAGATAACTTTTACATTTGCAGCATTGTAAATGAACCATTTTATGTCTTTCTCATACTTTTTTGGTATGTCTGTCCATAAATTCCATTTCTTTGATATGTACAACAGATGCTATTAAAGGAACTTGCTACAAAAGTAGTGCAGAATGTATTAGTTTAGAACAACAGGAAGCTCTTCAGTATTCACTGCTGTATGTGTGAGCTTTTTGGACAGCCATTGTTAGCACAATGATTTGTTGCTTCTCTTAGAGTTTATTTACAGTGTGCCATGCATGAGATTAGTGTTTTATTCCTTGAAATTTTATATTATGCAAAGTGGGAAGTCTTTAATGTGCTAAATAATATAAAATAACATTAATGGTAGGGTATACATGCAGGTATACTATCCTGGGTTATTACTAGTTTTTTATGGTTATGCAAACATATATATTTCAAACTGCAACTGAAAATGAAAAAAACATTTTCCCTGTTTTCATTTTACTATTTGTATTGTAATAGTACACAGAAAGTTGTATGTGCCTAAACATACTTCAGGATTTTACCCAGGCAATTTTACCGTGGAAAATAGAAGTAACCTTCAGAAAGATAGCAGTGCAATCTAAGCTCCCTTCTGCCTCAAGCCCTCCTCACTGATGTACATGCAAACTATTTGTTACTAGTAGTCTGCTTGTGCATTTTGAGGTGGTATTTCTCAAGGCAAAATGGGTGGTCATACAAGGTAAAAGTAAGTATCTGTGTTAGTTTTTTAGGCTGGTGTAGTTAAATGTATGTGCCCTTTACTTATACTTCCAAAAGAAACAAATTCAAATAATTATCAGTGATCACTTGATTAGAGATTAATGTATACAGTTGTTACAGTAAGGATAATAAAAACGAGCAGGTAGTCCTAGGCAGTGATATTATTGAGAGTAGGAAGGCTCTGCAGATACTGACTGGATCAATGGGCCAAAGCCAATGGTATGAGGTTCAACAAGTCCAAGGGCTGAGTCCTGCACTTGCGTCACAACAAGCCCATGCAGCACTACAGGCTGGGGGAAAAGTAGCTTGAGAGCTGCTCAGCAGAAAGGGACTTGGGGGTGCTGGTCAACATCCAGTTGGACGTAAGCCAGTAGTGTGTCCAGGTGGCCAAGAAGGCCAATGGCATCATGGCCTGTACCTACTCCAGCAGGAGTAGGGCAGAGAATGTCTGTCTGTCAGGGCTGGTGTGGCCACACCTTGGGTTCTGTGTGCAGTTTTGGACCCTTCATGACAAGAAAGACAGTGAGGTGCTGGGGTGTGTCCAGAGAAGGGCAATGGAGCTGGGGAAGGGCCTAGAGGGTAAGTCCTGTGACGAGCAGCTGAGGGAGCTAGGGTTGTTTAGTCCAGAGAAAAGAAGGCTCAGGGGAGATCTTTTCGCTTTCTACTACCTGAAAGGAGGTTTTAGCAAGGTGGGTTTCAATCTCTTCTGCCATGTCTCAAGTGTTAGGACAAGAGGAAATGGCTTTAAGTTGTGTCAAGGAAGGTTCAGACTAGATATTAGAAAAAAAATTTTTACTGAAAGAGGTGCTAGGTATTGGACTGAGTTGCCCAGAGAGGTGGTGGAGTCACCATCTCTTGAATTGTTCACGAACCATCTGGATGTGGCACTTGGGGATATGGTTTAGGAGTGATTATGGTGGTGTTAGGTTGATGATTGGACTAGGTAATCGTGAAGATCTCTTCCAACCTTAATTCTGCAATCAAAGACCTATGCTGTTAGCTTAGTTTGTTTTGGAGTGTGGGAACTGTTTATATCTCTTCTGCAGGTTTAATTTCTCATCTGCTGCAGCTGATTTTGCCTCTTCCAAATATTTTTTTTGGGGAAGAGCAAACTGAAAAATCTTCCACACAATGTGTATGATTACCCTTCAGATTGAAATTTTTAAATAAACTTTTATACCATGTTGTCCTGATTCAGAAAAGCATCTCAGCACACACCTAAAATCTGTTTCCTGAGGGACAGTGGTATTTTAAGCTTGTGCTTAAGTTCTTTGGTTGAATAAAACTGCTTTCCAGAACTGGTGCCTTAGTGGTTATGCCTCCTAATGGAATTACAGTTCTTCTGTACACATGCATAATAGTTATCAGCAATTTGTAGATAGGATGATACATCTTTACTTAAATGTGATTTTTTTTTTAATTTTTCAATATATATACATACCAGAACTTGCTGCTTTCTCTGGTAAGTATATTTTGTGATACTATTATTAAGGTTTTCTTAGAGTTGATTGAAAAAAATAAAGATCTTTTGGGATCTATAGACCTAAAATCGTAGAGCATAGTTTTAAATCTGAGTGAAACCAAAACTGTATTTTCAGCCTTACAGTGGTGGTGTTTTTTGGGGTTTTTTTGTTTCTTTTTTTTTGGGGGGGGGCAGACAGGCAGGGCATGTGGGGAAGGTATATTTGAGAAGTTTGGCTGTGGGGATGGGAGGTGAGGCGGTGTTTGTACCAGCAGAAAGGAGTTAGCAGACATAGTATTTCCTTTCCCTGGTGTGAGCTGCTTGCATAGATTGTTTCATCTACTTCACATTACTTTAGAATAGAGGTGGAAGGAGAGAAGGAAAATTGGCAGTCAAATACTGCTTTTTTAAAAATCAGTAATAAAGCTAAAAGAATAGATTAATTGTTGGAGACAGAATTAAGAGAAAGTAGTTGTTTGTTTCAGTTGTCATAACTTGCCATTAAATGCAATTGTGATTTTTTTCCTAAAATGTCAGTTTCTAAACTAACATGGATTTTAACGCAACTTCCCACCCATCAAAACAAAAATCTCAACCCAAAATACCCCTAGTATTACATGGCACTTATGTACAAATGAAGTATTCTCATTTGGGCATACAGTTGCAAATCAGAGTCAATTGTGTGATGTTAGATTATGGCAATCTGAAACTGTCCAAAGTGGGCTCTGTGTAAATATTACTTTTGATTATCAAGCCATATATTTTCACTATACTGTCTGCAGGACATAAATATGAAACTTTGTCTGCTTTTGCAAGTATTGAGTGTGAGAAGACACAGTTGTCATATGTGCATCCTTTACACTTAATGTGGTTTCTTCCACCTTCCACATATGTTTTGCTTCTCCCTTAATGGGTTGGCCACATACACTTGTGAATGAATGTTATCATGCTATTTTTTGTTGCATTGGCTGTGAAATCCACTGAAAGAAAACAGGAAGGAAATGATGTTTTTATGCAAATATTCCACTCCTGTGCATACAGTACTTTAAGGGAGGGAGGAGGGGGAAGGAACTTGTTCTGACAAGTCAAGACTTGTTTTTGTTTTATGGACTGTGTGATGGAAACCCACACTTACCTGCTGCTAAAAACTGAACTGTAAGCAACATAGTAATAATAACTTTAAATTGCCAAAATGTGTGCTATGATACTGTTGCATTTATTTAATACCATTATATGTTTTCTCATAAAAGTTATCCATTTGTATATAGATATTTCTCAAGTATTTGTCCTGTACGTATGAATTTCTAGTTTGGGAAAAAGTTGAGTTATTTTCATAGGTTTGTACAAAAGCTTCTTGGTTTAAACATGCTCGATAAAGGAATTGTCTGTTTTATAAGAGGAAATTTAATTTAAAAAAAAAAAAGGAAAAACAAAGGTGGAGGGGGGGCAGGAGTTGAACAGCTGTAGCAGTAGAGTCCTTGTAAGTAAGCATAAGACCTTGTGTGCACATGTGTGTGGTTTTAATCAGTGGAAATACTTGAGGCTTCCTGCTAACCCAAGTTTACATTCCCAGTATTTGTTTCTGAACTGTGAAATGCAGAGAGATAAGCTGTGCTTTCTTCTGAAGACATGTTAACTGGTTTAGCTGCCCTCATGTCCATTTCTCAGGTAAAATTAGAAATAGAGCACAAATGCATTTGGTAGGCTACGGACAATCTCTCAGCTGAAGGGCAGAAGGATTAACTATTTATACAAAATATGCATATCAGCATCTCTAAGCTAATCATTTGGGTCACGTTGGATGTTCACAGTGAAGAATGCAAGGCTGAATTGAGAGTCCAAGGTATGGTCTCTTCTGTTAGCAAAAAGATGCAGACGTACCTCCATTTGTATTTCATAATTCAGTTCTTGAAAAGTACATTTTTATTTTTGTTAATGACATGTCATTTTGCTGGAGGCACTTCTGCCAAATATAAAATCAGTGCCTCTTGCATGTAGTGGGATCAGCCTGATGAATCCCATTAGGTATAATTTGCAATGCCATCCTGCTTGTATAATTTAAAGTAGAACCCCGCAGAAGTGTAAATAGAGATAGCATATTGAAGTTCTAAATAACACTTGTGTTTTGAATTCAGAAACAGTCACTGGATATAAGATGCAAGCTTTTTATTTGATTTTTCTTTAATATATAGTTAAGGCAAAACTGTCTTATAAAATATTCTTAAGTTTTGTAGACAAAGCGTAAATGTGACTGTATATGTGCTAATTGTGGCAAAGTTTTACATTCTCATTCTAGTCTGGTTTTTACAATAAAGTTAATTTTACAAAAAACACTTTTCTATTTTTATGTACTGACATATGCAATAAATTGATACATTAAAAGTGCTGTTAATGTCTTGTTCTAGTCTGTGGCCTTTCTTCAGTGTGTGTAAAGGGGTAGTTCTGTGTGCATGGTAACAAATCAACCCCAAGGTATTGTTTTCAGTTTCTAAAGCCAGAGCACATGGACTAGACATCTGCATTATTAGTTGTGGCATTTGTGGAAAGCTATTATGGCAGGGAAAAAGTATATTGTAAATGTATGTTTCTAAGCTTTGTCATGTATCCTCGCTTTCAGGAAGTGATAATAAGTAAAACTGGTATGCAGTAGCTCTCCACTGCTTTCTAACACAGTTTGCATTTCAAAATTTCTCTGTTTTCTGGGGGACTGAGAGATGGTCTAAATATGATGTCCATTAGGAAGTATTTTGAAGTGTTCTTGACTAGTTTTACCACCTGGTGCTTGCAAAACTTCAAATGTCAATTTTAAATCCTGTAATGCCACTCTAGTAGGTTTATAGTTAATTCATGTAGCTGCAGTGGCATATTGAAGCAATTTCAGCTTTCTTATAGAGAAATATATAACTCGGCTTGTATCACCTCTGCTGCCATTCTGCATAGTTTATATGAAATACCCAGAAAATAAGGATTCTTTTCTAAAGCTGCAAAATGTTTGTCCTCTCCTGGATTACTGCAAGGCTTATAGTTAATTTTTAACCCACTACCTAGTAAACAGGGGTGTGTAGGGGGGTGTAAGTGTGATAAATTTGGACATTCTGTTCAAGATACCTATTAATTTTGAATGAAAAAACAGATATTTCTGATTTTTGTAAAGGAAGAAATAAAAGTGCAGGAGCAACTCAGATTTGAGTAGTCCATGTGAATACTGCCCTTCTTGAATGAGAAGCAGATTGCTGTCTTATGAACTATGTCACTAAAACTTACCTGCACAGTGCTACTCTGGAGAACACAAGTCTTGCATTTGCTTTTTCTTGCTTGAAAATTGATAAGCAGCTGGGCTACAAAGTGCAACATAAGCTGTGTCCTGGAATGTCTCATGATGTTATATTCATTTGCTTAATAGATAGGTATAGAGCTTCATATCAGAAGGTAAAACACAATATTTGAAGTTTTCTCAAAATTTGCAAGTACAGGTTAAATCCTAGTAAGCATTGATAAGGGCGTATGAACATCTAAACTGTAATGAGAACAGCCCTGCTGAGAAGGACTTGAGGATATTTGTATGTGAGAGAATGGACATGAACCAGCAGTGTGCACTTGCAGCCCAGAAAGCCAGTTGTATCCTGGACTGCGTCAAAAGCAGCGGGACCAGCCGGTCAAGGGAGGTGATTCTGCCCCTCTACTTTGCTCTTGTGAGACCCCACCTGGAGTGCAGTGTCCAGCTCTTGATTCCTCAGCACAGGAAGGACATCAAGCTGTCAAAAGTGAGTTCAGAGGAGGGCCACCAAGTTGATTAGAGGGATGGAGCACCTCTCCTATGAGGAAACGATGAGAGAATTAGGTTTGTCTTGAAAAGAGAAGGCTCTGGAGTGACCTAATTGTGGCCTTCCAGTACCTGAAGGGAGCCAACAAGAAAGATAGAGGGGGACTTTTTATAAGAGCATCTAGTGATAGGACAAGGGGGAATGGCTTAAGATTGAAACAAAGTAGGTTTAGATTCGATATTAGGAGGAAGTTCTTTGCTGTGAGGGTGGTGAGGCACTGGAACAGATTACCCAGAGAAGTTGTTCTGTTCCTGGAAGTGTTCAAGGCCAGGGTGGATGAAGCTCTGAGCAACCTCATCACCAGTGAATGGTGGCCCTGCTCATGGCAAGGAGGTTGGAACCAGATGATCTTTAAAGGCCTTTCCAGCTGGGCCATTCTATGATTCTATGAAATGAAACCTAAACCAAAGGCAGGGGCCTTGCTGTCTGTTAAAAAGATCAAGTACAGGTAGATAAAGTTTTGAGAAAATACTGAACTATTGGCTAAACAAAAATTATTTGCTCCAAAGATATTGAACATGCCTAAGCTTTAAATCTTTTGTTGGACCCTATTCGGGTCTTCATTTTAGACTTTGTACAGAGTTTTGTCTCTGTAAGTAGATGAGGAAGATACACTGATTATTTTCTGGAATTGTTTTGAAAACATTGATGTGATTAATTTGTTATGCTTCAGCTTGGATGAAGACAGAATAACTCTCGTAAGTCCTGGAAAACCAGCAATTTTTCTTTCTCTGAAAGCAATACAGCTAAAGAGCAGACATGGTTTTATTGTGTTACGGAACATGGTTTCACTCCTAATTGGAGATACATAAGTAATAATCTGAAGCAATGAGCTGAATAATGCAAAACTACAAGGTGGCTGGCAGAAATATAAGTATGTTCACATATCAGGTTTAGAGAGCTGTTGCCTCTAGTTTTGACAAGCAAGTAAGGAACAGATTTTGCTCCTTGAAGATAGAAAGAAAGGAAGTTCTACAGCTGGTTTGCGTTACACTTAATGTCTGGTGTGGGCTAATTATGTACAAAAATTCAAAGGGAAAGGTCAGATAGAAAACCCTTTCCTTTCTGTCCTTTAGGACTCAGGAACAGCATAGCAATCAGATATAGCTATGAAGAAATAACATTATAATTTGAAAATACTTGGATCCTTGTCCTGTTCCCTCTATTGAAGGTCTCCAGACTCTAGCAGCAGCAGAGTGGCCACTCCCACATGAAAGGCCACGGGTCTGTGTTTATTTCGTTACCATACAAATGCATTTGTAGCCCATCTGTGCAAAATCGGTGAAGTTGCATAGTGTCAAAGAGGTGGAGAACTCCAGTACTCGGTGCTGCTGGATAGCAAAGCCAGTGAGACTGTAAGAGAAGTGAGCTACAGCTGTATGACAGAGCTCGTTTTTCCCTGGGCAGTAAGAAGGAATTGCTATAACATCACGGGGTTTGAGGGGTGGAAGGGAAGGAGGCTGTTATTAAGCTGCTGTAGTATATAAATCATGTGTTTTCTTTTTATATTTTATATGGTTTTAAAATTGTTTTCTATGTCTTGTTGGCTCTTCTGCATACTTTGAAAGACACCTGTAATAATTGCTTTTCCTTCCTGTGTCATCTCCTATTCTCTTTGAAAACACTGTAATAACCATGTGAAAAGTGACAATGATTGCAAGTCAGCTGTAGGTTTACTATGTGTAGTATGCATGCCAGAATTGGACCCAAATTTTCTACATGTCTAGAGAAATAAGATCTTGCAAGGAATAAATCAAGGCTGTCATATCTAAAATGTGCAGAGACAATTGTGTTATCCTAGGCAATTTTGAAATTGTGAAGCAAAGAGAAAAAAATACACTTTTTGCTTCAGAAAAATCTCAGAGCATTTTTTTTTCCTTTTAACAAGGTAATTTATCAAATAAGGCTTTAACTGTTTGTGTAAAACATACTTTACTTGCAAGGTATTCAACAGCTTCCTGGAAGTTAAAATAATAGGATGTAAGATACACAGCCACAGGAGTGGAGTATCCAGAAATAGAGTGCTTTTTGGATCCATATGTAAGGCAGAACTTCCCTGGATTTACTACAGTGTAAATTGTAGTTAATGAAAAAATGAAAGCACTAATTAAGTGTCCTTGAAGGGAATGTGTACTGTTTCAGAGGGATATCTATGAATGTTCTTAATAGAGATCTCTGTAATAGCAGAAAACTGTAATACATGATTTATTCTGATCTCCCCCAAAACAATCCTCCTATTTCGTCCATCTTCAGAAAGGACTTGAAACTAAATGTGCTTCAGATGGAGCCTTTGCTTATTCTTTGCTTCTCTATCTGTTCTGCACTGTCTTGTGTAGCAAGGCAAGCTGTTGTGGTCTCTTTATTGTAATTACCGCAGGACCATTTTGTGGCTACTTCAGAAGTATATGAGGCTGGACCCTTCCCACTGGAGGCGTACTTTTAGTATGGCCTTTGACATTTGCCTGGATCTCTGGGTTGCAGCATCTGCACAACCTCCTTTCCAAAATAAGAACATTTGTTTTTAAGTAAACTTTCATGTTCCTTCAGTAAATTGGGTTTTTACTCAAGCCCTCATATTGATATCATCTGCTTCTCTTTTGTACATTAAACTTCATCATGGGATTTTCCTCCCTCACAAAGAAGATGCTTTTGTGATTAAAGTACATTGCTGGATTTCAGGAAATCAATAATTCAGTTTCTGGTTCAACCACAAATTTCCTGTGTGATTGGTTATTATCTCTGCCCTGGTTCCCCACAAATGTAGTGCTGATCTTTTATAAATTTGCAGGTTACCAGGACCCATCTTGATCATTTCATCTGATACTCTGCATAACAGAATGAAAAAAAATAATTGCTTCCATAAAGTCAAAAGATTTTTTTCTGCTGTAACGTCTTGGAAAGTTTAACCAGCCTTAATTTCCCTGGGTTGTAGTGAAACATTCTCGCCTGTTAGACTCTTCAGTGGCAATGTGTTGGGTTTTCTTTTTTATTTATTTATTATTTTGAGTTTTACCTAAAAGTTTGCTCTTTTTCTCAAAAGTAAAAGACTTGGTTAAGTAAAATTCTTAGACTAGCCAAAACATTTCTTAATAGTTTTCCTTGGCTAAATTAATGAGGTCTCTTAGTCAATCAGCTTGAGTGTTCAACATAGCTCATCCTTTCAGTTAAGGAGGCACTGTGATTGGATTCACTATGTGTCCATGGATCATGTACCGTGCATCCAAAATAGGACCATATTTTCAGAATATTTTTATTGTAAGGGTTTATTCTTATTTGCTTGCAGAGATAGATGGGTTTCTCCAGTTTAATGCAGTAACATTTTCTTTTCTAGAAATAGTTTGGAAAATGCCTCTTTGAACTGGTCTTGAGGCAGGCCCTAAGGTTTTTCTGCATGCATATGTGTCTTGAGTCAAAAACTGTTAATATGGTACAAACTTCTGCAAAAGGATTTTCAGGAAAGCTGGCCAGTAGAAGCAGGCTGCTAACCACAAACTGAATGCCCTTTCCGTTATGAGTTCTTCAGGCCTCCTATATTCATTTGGGGTTTTTGTTGTGAACCTTTTTCACTGTTCAGTGTTTTCAGTCTTAACTATATGTCAATAGTTTTGTCAGTATAAAAGCATGATGCTGCCTCTTTTTTTTGCTTATTATTTTACCCCAGAATATATTTCCAGTAGTATACCTCTGCTTCAACAAGAATATTCCACTGAGAGCTTGTGTTCAGCATGTCTCCTAATGGGAGGCTAATCTGAGCACTGCTTAGTCCTCTAAGTCATATCTTAGTTTAAAACACAGCAAAAATGGCACATACAGTAATCTTACTCACTTGGTTTAAGCAGGCTAAGGACTACTTTGCAGCTCTACCAACAAGAGGAATCAAAAGGAGAGTATGTTATGACAAAACATAGTGGCAAGCATTGAGCACTGATTCTTCTAGGCTCTGCAACTAGCATGAAGGTTTTGTTTGGTTTAGGGTTTGTTTTTCTGTTGGGTTTTTTTAAGTCGTTTTTGTGATTTACAAATGCAATTAGCATCTACAACTAACTGAAGCTTCATTTGAGTATATTAAAACAGAAGTTGTTCAACTTAGTTTATTTCTAGGCAGTTCATGTTGTTTTTCATTATTGATCCCTTACTGCCATTATTTATTGTTCCACTATGATTTTGTCATCACAGAAGTTGTCAGAAGTTACGTTTTCTTTCAAACCACATAAGTGCTTATGAATCTACAGAACAATACAAGGTTGCCAGCAGAGTGATCCCTTTGATGCTCAACTACAATATCTACTGAATTTAACAATTTGCCATGTGTGGGCTATTGTGATTTTCCTCATCTCCCCTTTGAAATTCTCGTTGATCAGAATGATAAGCAAGATGAAGCCAGATGTCTTACAGAAGTCCTCTGTGTCGCCACAATTATTTTGTCAGCCCAAATAATGACCCCATTTAAAGAAGGTGTGGAGGCTGGGAACAGCCTATTTTCTCTAGAAGTGACTAGAGTGCTGCTATTTATATATCTGTCTGTTATTTTCTGATATGTTAATGACTGCAGAGACCTCTCTGGCCATTTGTTTCTCAGTATTCCTGAATAGCTAGTTATAACTTTCATTCTCTCAGTTTCATTTTCTAAAATAGCGCATCTTTTCCAACTGTCATATTTCTTTTTTTTATTTTTGGAACAGTCAGTACTAGGCTGGTAATGTTCTGATGTCTAGGGATACTTAAAGGCATGTCTGCTTAGTTCTAATAATTGCTTATTCTGTTAAAAAATAACTGTGTTAGTTCATCTTAAATTTCTTTCAAAATGCAGCCCCATTTACACCTTAACTTAGCCTTGAAAATAGGCACAGAATGGTATGGTATTCTGCTTATTCCACCCTACGCTGATTTCTTTATACTTTGTCACAGTACGTAGATGTCTTCTAAGAGCACACTAAGATACATTGTGTGTTTTTTTCCTCTGCATTTAGGAACAGATTTACTCATCTGTGCAGTATAAGCATGGTTGCTATAGGTGGCAAAATAAGGAAAAGAATGCCCTGCATCACAATGGAAGATGATAAAGCTTATAATCACCCTAAATTTCTCATAGCCTTAAGAAACATAAGTGGGAGAGGCTACAGAAGTTGTTACTCTATTGTTGTTCCTTCTCCTTCCCAACAGAATTAACTTGATCTGAACTACTCTGGTAGGTGTTGCCACAGGATTCACTACAGAGTGTTTGGGCTGACATGTAAAAGTTCTCTCTTTTGCACAGATAAAGTTTACTCACATGGTAACAGGTTGACCTGTTGATTTTAGCCCTAATTGTGATGCTGTTTGATTTTTTTTGTGTGTGTGTCTCGGATCACTGAAAGTTTTAACAAAGGGGTAAAAGTTGAATTTTGTGTGAGAAGAAAATACATAAAGCATATACACATGTTTGGGATATTTAGGTACCCTTGCTGCTGCAGAAAAGAAAGGAATTCCTAATGCAGGGTTTTAAGAGGAAAGGACTTGTAAAATCTTAAAATTATGAACTTAAACCAGACATTCAGGATTCATCTGAAAAATGTTAGCATGCATGTTTAAAGTTTTAGTCTGTTTCATTTTTAAATTTTCTAAATATCATTTTTTCTATACCTCTCTGCTCTTTCCCTCCATTCTTATTTCCCATATCTTATTCTTTTCCATCGTCTTGTTTTCACCTCTTCTAGTTCTCCCCTGCCAAGTTTCCTCTCCCTGCTTCTCTGTGTCCACTTTTGCATTAATCCCGGTCCTTGAGACCTGTAGCGAAACTGTATTTATTAGATAAGTTTAATAAAATATCATCCCTTTTCAAGTTAGTTAGATGAACTGAACTGCAGAATCTGCAGCTACATACAGTTGAGAGACCAGTAATTTATGACTCATACCTGGGAATATTTTTCATTATTGTGTTTTGGAAACCACAAAAAATTTTTTTTGAATAATTTTTCTCCTCTGTAGGCATATTGGCACTTTAGATATGAATATATATATGTTAATATATGTGATATAATGTATATACACAGTACATCTTCATGCACACAGAGGCATATGCCTGTCATACGTGTACGCCTTTTAAGTAGCACTGGATGATATGCTGCCAGGAAACTTTATATAGTTTCTGCATTTCTAGATAAGGCTTTAAAATTACCAGTGGTACTGGCTGTGCCTAAATTTAAAGATTATGGGAAATGGTTATAGCAAGCTGCCACATAAATAAATAATTGAAAGTGAAAGGAGGAAGGTAGATTGAACAAATAGCTCATGAGAAAGTATTCCTTTCTAAAATGCAGCACAGAGAGATGAAAACAAATTGAATCTTAGATGTTCACTCTGTACATTAAGTTTAATGGTGCTATCAAGAGCTTCATATGACAGGAAATGATCTGGCTGTTTTGTTCACTTATTCTGGATACCCTTAGTTTCAGAGAGCAACTGGTAACATGGATTGCACCTCGGAAGGGGACAGCTGAACTCTCCCTCTGGCTTTAGTAAGGAAAAAGCAGCGATGAAATCCGTGGACTATGTGCACGTCATCCAACAGAAGGATACCGCCTCCTCTCCTTCTGCCCCCCCTGATGCTGTTTCAGGCACCACGGGACTTTTTTCTGTCACATTCCTATGGCTCGCAATGCTCCTGTCCTCTTGTCTTGCAGCAGTGTCTCTTTACCATGTTATCACCCTGAAAACAGAACTAGAAGCTCTGCGCAGCGAGCTGATCTACAGGCTCCAGGCAAGGTCTCCGCTAGACCAGCCACCCGTGTCCCCTGAGGAAAATAAAGCAGGTACCCCTGTTTCTTCTTTCCTGCAAGTGTCTGCAGCTGGCACCAGGCAGGTAAGCTGGAGGGGTGGTTTGTAGCTTGCAAGGGATGAATAAATGTGGGGCTGTTTCACTGACTGTTGCTTCTCCTTGTTAGGAGAACAGGCTTCCTGATAGCTTCCAAAAGGAAATCTGGAATGGGAGTAGAAACAGGCGCAGGCGGTCTGTTGTCCACACAGAAGAAAAAGGTAAATAGCATCTGGTGGAATGGTTGGGATGCCGCAGTTGGATACCGTTTTGAGAAAAGCAGCAGTGCTTGATTCGTGTCTTCTCCTGTCAGTATCCATGCTCCCAGAGCCTGTTCTGACTTTCAAAATTCTTACTGAATGAATGGATTTAACAATAGGCATATTCTTTTAATGGTTACCATATAGAATCACAGAAAGTTTTGAGTTGGAACGGACCTTTAAAGGCCATCTAGTCCAACCCCCCTGCAATGAGTTGGGACATACTGTTTAAGGTACTGATATTCGTGCTATCTGCATTTCAACTGTTCAGTTCTCTCTGATCAATAGTAGGGAGGGAAATCTATTATTAAAAATGCCAACTCACTTTTCTGGGAAACATGGTCATCCTAAAAGAGAGAAGTAATGAGAAATTTAGGGAAGTAGGAGCTTTCAAAGAGAAAGATTGGCTTGTACCTGACAAAAGAGACAGACTACAAGGAATTCAGAAGTTTAGCATTATTTCTACATTAAAACAACCTATTAATATAATTAGAAAAATTAATAAAAGAATGCCTATCCAGTAAGATTTTTTTCTCTCATGGCCTTTATAAAAGTTTCTGCAGAGAACACTGAAGACTGTGCTCCATAAAAGACCTCTGATGTGTATTATAATGTTGATATATTAATGGGATGTATTTGTTTCCTTTAGGAATAAAATGTCTACATTTCTTTATTTTTCCGGACACAATGATGCCTTATAGGATGAAATGCAGAATTTTATTGTAACAGTCTGCACACGTACTCTAACTGCACTGAGTAATTAAAAATATTACTGGATTGCTAAATCAATTCACTCCTATTATGTATACTTTTTTTATTGTTTTAACTGATGAAAGCTAATATCTTAAGTTATTAAGAGATGATGTTGAAATGGAGTAATTTGTAGGCAAAGACTAAATGAAATTTAAGTTCTAGGGTATAATCACTCTACTTACTTCCAATATTCTCAAAAGAGAACATTCATTTAGGACATCACCTAAAACCCACAGGTTTATATGGGATTTATTCTACTTCATTAGTAATCTTTTGTTCAGGGCCTTGTCTGAGACAGATTTCGCAAACTGGACCGAGGACATGATTGCTTAAATTGTATTTCTTGTAGCTTGCTTCCTTTCATGGGAACCACAGAGTTTCCCTGTTCTCCCCACCCTAGCAACTCCCAAATAAAAAATAGTGATCTAAATTACAAGTATCATAAAAGAGACATCTTTTTAAAATGAATTTTATAGCATCAGTACTGTGCAAGTGATCCAGTTTCCTTCACAATAGCTTTCACCTTTATTCTTATTGCTGTTTGAGGGTGTAGGTGGGTGAAGAGGTTTTGGGGCTCCTCGGCTGTGCCTCTAGGTAGACTTGAGATTCTTCTTATCATGTAGCCACCTTTGATTATACCTATTTACCTTTATTCACATAAAATTATAATTAAGCTACTTACTTTTGTAAGCTTTTTTTAAGATGGCTTTAAAATTGTTTAGGATGGATGACAGAAAGCACAGAATATGAACATCCATTTGAAAGGGAAAAGCTACATAGTTTGATCTGCTACAAAACTGTTTTCTAACATGAACCTTATACTTTTGTATATAAAAAAGAAAAAGTAAATTGCAAATCTTGCATTTATATCAAAGGTAATCTGTTGGGGTTACCTTTCTGCCTGCTCTAATTACAACAAATTTAGCTTTGTCAGAGTTCAGTAAGATGTTAAATTTTCTCAGATCAGATTTCACTGATGACCATGAACCTATTAGACAATGTTAAATTTTAACTTAGCAGAGTGAGTTAAATAAGAAAACATGGTGTTGTTCATGGTGCTGAATCCAGTCTATTACTTGGTCATGTACACAGAACTACTGGCCCTGCATTTTGATCTTTTGACATCCATATCTGAGTACCAGAATCCCAGCAGCCTCAAAATTGTCCTGCAGATGTGCGGCACTCATAAATTAAGCTGTTGAGTGAGATGCCTGTTCTTGTCTGTTTGCTTCAACAAGATCTCAAAGTGGAGTCTGGTCCCATAATTAATTGTCGACCCATCATTTTACTATTACACAGAACAATTCCTTAGAAAGATAATATTTGAAAACATTACTGACATACAATTGCTTCTCTTCTGCTTAAATGTAGAGCAGAAGTAAAATACAGGACTATTATTTTGTTTATAAATAAAGTTGTGATTCAATTATGGTTTTTTTCTAGACTTTAATTATTAAATTCCAGGAATGGATACCCCACTATTTTTTTAGGCTCAGCACAGCCCTTCTTGAACATATGGAATTACCATTTTAATTTTTTCTACTTTTGGATGTTGTGTACATAAAAGCGCTCATAAATTAGCATTTTCATTAAAATGACAATTGAATGAAAGTAGATCTAACACAATATTGTTCTTTCATGTTCTTATAGGGTAGGCATTTGTGTGTGTTCATGCATGAAACCATTAGCCATCTGCAGTTATACATTTTGTGCCTTGAGAAAATTTCCAGCTCAAGTAAGTTAGAGAGAAGGGTTTCAAGCATCAATTCCAAATAAAGCTGCACAGTTAGCAGTCAGAACCAGAGTTCTTGATACAATGAGTAGGAGTTAATGGGTAATTTTGAAAGGTACATATTATTAATATGCAGGCAGATAGACCTTTTAACCAATTCTGGCAAATGTCTTATCAGGACACATAATAACAGACATAATTTTTCTTTTTTATTGTTTTTCTTTGTCAATTCTGCCTGTAGAGGAAAATCATTGCACAACAAAACCTCTCCTGAATTTTATAGTCTATTAACAATTATTGATTGCCTTGCTTGTATGTTTCTCTCTAAGCTGCATGTGCACTTGAGTCCAGGAAAAAGATACAGGTTCCATTGCCTAAGCCACTTCAGTGTACGAATGTGAAGTTTCATTTACACGCTCCCTCAGTGCCTCATTCTGGTCCTTATTGTGAGATTCCAATTCCTGTGGCCTAGGGAGGTAAGAATAAGGTCTCCTGTAAGCTCAAATGCAGGTGGTCAGATTGGAGCCCCCATGGACTACATTTACCTTGGTGTATTGAGGTTGCCCAACTCAACCGTCTCATTGCATAGATGCAAGGAGCTGAGAAGCAATTCTATGTAATTCCACAAAGCAGTGAGGCAGGTTAACCTGGCATGTGCCTTGGCTCTATTTTTTTTTTTACTACCAATTCCCAGATTCTACTCCAAAATCAGTTGTAACCATGGGAAATAACTATTGCCTTGCAAGCTTGGTGTATAAGTTGTGAGAATTTTTCCGTTGCTCTTGATATAATTGCTGTACATTTGGTACATTGGGTACATTTGTTGATTAGAAGTGTTTTGACTTTATGTTGTTGCTTTAGATATCTGTGACAGAGGGATAGCAAGAACTTATACAAGTGGTACTTGACTTTAGTGATCTTCGAAGTGAGACATAACCTTTTGTTACTAGCCTAAAAAAATGCCACAAAAATGCCTAAAAAAATTCCCTTACCAAATATTCACAATACTTCTTATTTTATTGTTTGAAGAGAGGAAATATAAAAGTTCTCTTAAAAAAAAAAAGAAAGGCCTACTTCTTGAAAATATGTTATTCTTATTTGTTTCTGCTGACAACAGTCTAATTCAAAAGGAAGTAGACCCTTCTATGCAAAAGAGTATAAAATTACTTGATGCAATGCCTGCAGTTTCACATGAAGAATTTCACTGAATGAATGAGTGAATGAATCAGTGCTGTGTATAACGCAGAACGCTGTGCAATCAAAAATACATAAAATAGACTCTAATTTTTAAAAACAATATTCTGCTTTGCACTGTATGATAGAAGTCTACATAAAGTATTCTTAACTCCTAGTAAACTATTTCCTTGTTTTTCTGACTGTAACATATTACTGGCAATTCTGTTAAGGTCAAAATAATGGTACCAATACTTCAAAGATATTTGTTAGATCTGAGTCCTACCTGCAACCACGATTGAGCCATTTTAATGCAGGGACTGATTGAATCCATGATTAATGCCATATAAAAACTTGTCAGTTAAAAAGAAACAAATTAACCAGTTTTCCTGGTTTCTACTGGGATAGAGTTCATGAATACCAGTTTATAAAAATACATAAGCAAAAACCAAAAGAAGATCTCTTGTGATGAGAAATGAAGAATTGCAAATGGTTCAAGAACGTGCTTATCATTTCTATAGTAAATTATCTAGTGTTTATGTGTGTTTTGAGAAGTCTACAGAGAATAGATCTAGACCAAAGAAGGAACCTAAATAAGCAGGTCTGGGTTTTGGTGGGTTTTTTTTTCAAGGTCAGGGTTTTTCCTGGGTTTTATTTCAGCAAAAATTGAAACAGATGTCTCAGGCCTCAGATATCAAAACTTTAAATTTTATGCAAGAGCTCACAAATAGTAAACTTGAAATTTTGTTTGGATGGATCATTAAGTGAGATTGCAAAATATTAAAATGATTATGCAAGTTAAATAACAAGAAAATTTGCATGTAAGGACAAATTTGATTTTACCAATATAAGGTCTTAAAACACGCAGATATGCAGAAAGCTGTCCTGCTGCAATAGCTAGTACCTTTTTTTTAAACTGTGGCTACGTTGCTCAACCAGTAGAGAACACATCCTTTCATGTGCTGTCTGTGGTTTATAAAGGCATCTGGACCTACTAACTTTTTCAGAATTGGCTGTTCTGTTCATGGAATAAGACAGACTCTGAAATGTACTTCTGCCAACTGCAGCCTGCAGAGCGATTAAAATCAGGAAAAATAAGAATGTTCATCGAAGCAAAGCTATTATATAAAGTCACAAGAGGACGGGGCATGCATTACAGTTCTAGATACACTTTTATACAGTTAGACCTCATGGTGACACTCAGTCTAGATATTTTTACACACTTTCAAGATGTATTTTACAAATCCTGTATTCTGTTTTCTTTATTAATTATTCAAAAATCCTTTAGACTATGAAGATTCTGCTCAGGTTTGATATACACAGGGCTGAAAGACATTCAGATAGAGCTTTTGATTTATTCTGCTCAGTACCGATAGTAACTATTCAATGTCTATTTTGTAATACATATATTCTTCATATTGCACTTAAGGTGAGATTAAGGTCCTTGTTGGAATAGAATTGCTAGCATTTCTTAAAAACATTAATTTTTTACTGAAAATCCCTGTTAATTTACCCAGAAAATATTCTATCCATATTCTTTCCTTAATAGTAGTGTTGTTTTCTCTGAATTAGTTTTAATTAATTACTTGATCTTAAGCATGTATGTAGTTCCACTGAGGTCAAAGTGAAGTACTAGTATATACTGGAAATAGTTATGTGTCAGTCTTGGCTTCTGAACATATTTTTTAGGCATGTTGTTGTTCAATATCTCAGGAACTTTTTTAGATATTATTTATCCTTTGTAGCCTTAGGTAAAAAATGGCCACCATGCTAGTTTTTGTTTCCTTATTGTCAGGAATGACACTGTTGCATCCATTTTTCTCCATGAAAAACAAGCTTACTATATTCTGTGGAGCCTTATTCCTATCTGCATATATTAAAGAAAAAAAAGATTTTTTTAGAGAATATGTCTAGATCTGATATCTGTAGAATAAAGCAGTTGGTATGTATTTTAAAGCGATGGAGATGATCTCAAACTGTACTAATCTTGCCCATTTTAATTACTGTGTGGAAGTTCTCAGCATGCTGACTACTATTTCAGTGCTGCAAACAGCTGAAATATAAATTCAGACTTGCAAACTGTGAATTAGGATAGTTTCAAAAATGCCCATCAGATTTGCGCAGCAGGCTTAACAAGAATTGCTAAAGTAGCCGAACTTTTACTGCTTGTAGACAATATTCATTGGTATCCAGCTGGATAGCAGCTGGTTAGTGTGTATCATCACAAATCCTGTCTTGTTTGGTTAGTGGAAAATCCAGTGGCCACACTAGTGAATTCTTTCAAAAGCAGGAATTAAAATTTTCATTTAGCTTACTGAAATACTAGGGAATTGGCAAATTTCATTCTCTAGGAAGTCATTTTGTTCCAAAGGAGAGTGAATTAATACTTTGTAAAATGAAGTGCCTGATGTGCTGTGTTGTGCATCTGCAGAAAATCACATTTTGATTTTATTTGGAATCTTCTTTTCTGGAAAATTCTTTTGCTCCCATGATCAGTAGAAAAATGAAGTATAATACCTTTTTCAATTTTATGTCGGCTTGGTTTTTCTATTCTATACCAGAAAGTAGGAAATTCAGATGCCTTCAAATTCTTGGTTTGCAAAACTGTAGATTTTAGCACATCATTGATTTGTTCATAGAACTCAAGGACACATTTCAGTGTAGGAGACAGAAGCTTGGAGGATAGCATTCCTGTTAACATAAGTAGGGCTTGCAGGTTGTGTGATCATTGTGACATTGAAGCATTCCCAGATGTGCCCTTGAATCTCTGTGTGCTGCCAGCTGGCACTGCTGAGTGCTGGTGAGCATTCAGCCCTCTTCTGCTGTTTTCAAGCAGGACCCCTTAAAAAGGAGACTTAGTTACAGAGAGAGGCTGCTTTCTACCCAAATTCTCACTACCTGCTGTGCAGCAGAAAGTTTGTCCTACTGGACACTTAGTAGACACAGTAGATGCAGGATCCCACTTATCCATGACATTTCCCATTACAGCAAGTGCGGCCAAATCTGACCCAGAACCTTCTTATCTGAAAAGAGGTAAACAAAATGGAGATTCAGCAAACCATGGCAGAATTTTCTTCTCTTGACTCTTAGTAAATTCATTTGGTCTCTTTCAAGTGTAGTAAATGTTGCTGCTCCATTTTCCAAACTTCAAAGTAGCACAAGAACCAGATGTTTTGATTAAAATTTGCTCTAAGCAATTCTAACTCTTCTTTTTTCCTTTTATCCTATTCCCTGACATTTATGCTTAGCAGATTTCTTACAAGATCTTTGTTTCACTTGCAAGTCTGTATTTTAACTTTCTGCAATACTTTTCTCTGAAACTCCTAGTTTCTCTACAGTTTTGAGCAACACGTTTTGACAGATACTAAGCTATTTGTTAAGTGTGCCTTAATTTGCTAAGAGTCATATCTCTATCTTCCCTCTCAGTCTTAGTTAGGTTGATTGAGTGTAGGTATCTGAAAATATAATGAAAGTACATATATATGGGTTTTGAGAATTTATTATGAAAGTACCACGTAACCAGTATATATGACTAATCTTTTACAGCAACTATAACTGGAAAGTAATTTCTTTAAATAATGCAGTAAACATCATTAGAAAAGCTGCTACCTGTCATAGCTGACAGGGGTGGGACTTTTTTTGAGCTTTTGATTAAAAAATTAACAAGACTAGTTGATCTGATGATTTTTAGCTCATTTGACTTACTGCTACATCTTTTAATTATATTAGGACCAGATATTAAAACAAGCAAGTATAACTTGTGCTTCTGTCTGAGACCTCCCATATAGCTGCCCGATCCTTGAAAGTTACCTAGTATGTGTTGTGATAGGAATTCTGGTTTTACACACTTGAGTGAGATCTGTATTAAAACCAATAGATTTTGGTTTAAAATAAGTGATGAGACTGAGAGATTTTTTTCATGTCCTTTTTTTTTTATGTAGTTTCATAAGCTTAAGCTATTCTATTACTGATGTATGTTTCGTGGATTTCTAAATGCTTTTACTTTCCAGTGCTGCAAGCCTGCTTGCAACTGATCGCTGACAGCAAAAGTGATATCCAACAGAAAGGTAAGAGTATGTTCCATGATTTGTAGCTAACTATTCCTTGGATTAACTGTTTCAACAAATTTTGTCTAACTTCAAAGCAGTAACTGAGTTTTGCCGTTTTATTTAAAAATAATTTAAAAATCCCACCACCAGCAAACAAACAAATTAAAAAACAAACAACGAAGAGGTCCCTGCATCTGGTAGGTCTCTGCATCTGGATAGCTCTTGCAAATAGCATCTTTTCAGTGGGGAAATCCAGCTAGTGAGACTGGAAGTCTTGACTAGAAATCAGCTTTGTTAATTTTTGGCAGGTGAAAATTAAGAGATAACTTTTCTTTTTGATTACCCAAAATTATTGTTTCTTTTAGATGATTCAAGCATTGTCCCTTGGCTTCTGAGCTTTAAACGGGGAACAGCTCTGGAAGAACAAGGAAATAAAATAGTGATCAAGGAAACAGGTTATTTTTTCATATATGGCCAGGTGAGAAAGCTCAATTCACTTCAGCATCTGACTTTTGCAAGGGTTTTTTAACGCCTCCATACAATAAATTTGAAGTCTACCTCTTCTTTCTGCAGGTTTTGTATACGGATACAACATTTGCTATGGGACACCTAATACAGAGGAAGAAGGCTCACGTGTTTGGTGATGATCTCAGCTTGGTGACATTGTTTCGTTGCATCCAAAATATGCCACAGTCTTACCCAAATAATTCTTGCTATACTGCTGGTAAATACCTACATTTTCCTTTTCTTTGTTTGCAAATAAGCTGTATCAAATAGAATCTGTAGTGTTGGGTGATTTAAGAACAGGGACTGCATTCATGGATCTGGTTAACTGCAAAATTACAGAATATTTTCAAAAAATACAGTTTTATATAAAGTATCAGCAATCAGAGGGTATGTATCTAACTTGGTGATCTGAACAGCTTCATTCTTTCCATGGACTCTGTAATGTGGCTGGATACTTTGGTGCTTTCGGGCAGATACCTGAAGCAGAAAGAAGAAGTACGTGCTGTCCTTATTAAAGAACTCAGTTTAACTTAGGAGTTGAATTCCACATTTAGTAATCCCAATAAAATATTTAGGAGCTATGTTCTGTTTAAAATGTCATATATAAATTTTAGCCATCCAATCTTTGCATACCTTACTGTGGTATTTCTACTCCTTATAATGGCTACTGCATTTTTAATCTTTGGTTAGATGAAAAATAGTTAATTCCTATAAGGTGCTCTTTATGACATCACAAATTAGAAACATTACAAGAAAGACCAATTAAAATATTTAATGCAAGTCCAGCAGGCTCAAAATCAATATACATGTATATTCCTGCAGCAGCATTTAAGGAATTAGTGTCAAGGCCTATAAAACCTCATTTGTCAGCTCTTGTCTGTCTTTCCACCTTAATGGTGGATTTGAGGGTCTCCAATTATTTTCCAGCAAGATCTTTTTTTTCTTTATGAAAAAATGGGTGACACTGAGTGGGTGACACTGAGTTGACTGTTGGCAAGTAATGGCATTAAACAAATGGTATGCAGCACAAAGCTAATTTTTTCCAAATAAAAATAAATTCCAAATAAATAAATACTTTGTCCTGGCAATTGAGGCTCCTCAAACATTTCCGTTAATTTTCTGCCCCTTCACTTGTACATTCTGGCATCATAACCACCTTCAGTTTCATCTATGCTCTTATTTTACCCTTATATTACTGCTGCCCTTTCTTAACTAGGATCCCTACTCTATCCTGCCACTTCACAGTTCTTGCTTCCCAAATTCCTACTGTTCCTTTTTCACCTGGAAAAACAGTTCTCACTGCTATCTTCTGTGCTGTTGAGCATGTCTCGCAGCAGATGTTAGATGTGTTCTCAGCTCTGTGGCTGCAGCTTGAAGGGGAGATGCTTTCAGTTATCATATCAGATGATGTGCAGCTGGCAGTAAGCAGACTTTTGTGCTCTGCAGTTGCAATGGATCAGCTGATGTCTGGTAACTTCATTAGAGTGATAAAGCTCGTGAAACCTCCTCCAGAAGTGTGGGAATGGAGTGGTCTAGGACCAGTAATACTTGCTGCTGACCTTGCCTGACACAACACCATAACATGAAGAATCTGGATACACCACTGATATAAATTTCTGCAACGTTTGCTTAAATTAACTGTGTTGTGCTGAGTGCAGAGTGGAAATTAAATCCAGCTCCATAGAGGATGTTAAGTGTCAGCTTTGGATAGGCTGTAAACTCTTAGTTTGTACCTAAAGGTAAAAAACCACTCATCACATATAACAAGTCATGCTTACATTTGCAAGATGACACATAACGACTTTTTGAATACCATTTATGAAAATAATGTATTTGAAATATTAACTTAAAAATATTCCAAATCCTTTGCCAGGCATTGCAAAATTAGAAGAAGGGGATGAACTTCAACTTACAATACCACGGAGAAGGGCCAAAATATCCTTGGATGGAGATGGTACTTTTTTTGGTGCAGTAAGACTCCTCTGAAGCCCTTCATTTCTGTTATTATGCTTAATGGAAATTTATTCTTTTCCTATGCTTTTGTCATAAAAAATACTGAGTTGTAATAAAGCTGCCAATTCAGTCTCTCCCCAGCCAGCACCAACTTCTAACTTTTCTTCACTTTTATAAGCGAACCCAAAACAGGAAACACCCCAGACAACCTTGTGATATAACCACCATGTGATTAGCAGAAAGCCAATTTATTTCAGACAATGGGCAACTCTAGATAACAACTGTAAAGCAGTGAGTTTTGAAACAATGTATTGTCCATAAGAAAATAAAAAAGATGGAGTTGACATAAATAATAGCATGACCAGGACCATAGACTATCAAATTATTATCCATAATTGAAAAGGAAAACTAAAATACATGTTAGATTTTCATTATTTCATCAATAAAATATTTGAAGTATGAAGGATGGGAAAGAAACATCATACAGTAGATTCCTTATCACAAAATGGAGGTGTTAGGTGGGTTCTGTGTTTTGTTTTTCTTTTTTCTTTGGCACAAAGATTTTGGGGAAAGAAAAAAATCTAAATGTATGGGATAATGTAAACAAATATACAGAATAGTAGCCATTGTCTTACTTCTTCCCTGTGAACAAAAGATTTACTAAAATTTATTAGTATTTACTATTTAGAATTAATTTTAGTGGGAAAAGGATATGTAAGATGCTTCAACAGCTCAATCTTCAAAGCATTGCTACTCATCAAGGAATATGTGCACAATTCTATGTAAACAAGGCAGGAACAGAAAGAAATGCAGTGACATTAGACACATTACAGTGGGTGGAATTGGATTTCTGGCTTCCTCATTTCTGCAGTCACATATAGATGTGTATATATACATTATATAGATGTATTTGTATATATATGAAAGTATGTACACACACATATGTCTTGGACATTTGAACATAGAATTTTATCTTCTTTTGGATAGTTTATCCAATGGAAATATTACTTCATACATATTTCTTGTATTTCTCTTGCCTCTTGCTATGATCCCTTCTATGCAACTGAGTAAAAAATAAAGTCCAATAGACCTGGAACCAGCCATGCAGCTAAGAAAATACATTTGTATCCCAGAAATCTGGGCTCAATCCTAGGTTAACTATAGGCTTTTTCTGCAGTTTTGAATATATTGCTCAACGCTGTTTCACCAAAAAAATGAGACCTGTAGAAAAACTAAACAAGATATCCTTTTTCCTTTTCTTTTGTCTGTCTCCTTTGTTCAATAGATAGGATTTATGTCTTTTTTTACCCCAAATATTGCATGGTCAAGGTAATACAGTGGTAATAGTGTGGTCAAGACTTCTAGTAGCTATTGTAATACAAACCTTGAGTACTTGTTCCACCGATCTTTAAAGAATATTAAAGTGCTATTGGAATAGATAAAATAAACCCCCCCCTTACTGTACTTCATTTGAAATTTTTTTTAGGATTTGAGAATTGTGTTATGTAAGTTTATTTAGTAAAGAAAAGATGCTTTGTATATTGCAGTCTCTTTGTCTGTTTTTATAAACCGTGATTTGATTGAGTTCTCAGGGTGATAGACAATAAATAAAAGAGTTTTGGAGCTAAGAATTATAGAGCATGGTAAACTAATGCAACAATTAATTCAACTTCTCTGGGCTTCAGGAAGACATTTGTGTATTGCATATGTGTATTGGATTACTACATGAGATTTTTATGAGGCTTAACTACAGTTTCAAAATGTCTGAACTCCTCCTTTTTCAAATTTATTTATTTATGTGTTGTGGATCTGAAGCTTCTGCTTATTATTGTTGTTGTCATTGTTACTATTACTGTCAAATTTTGATGTGCTAAGTTTGCCAAAAAGGCATTTTAAGTCCTCTACAGAAACCCTCAGTTTACCCAAGGTTGTGTGACTCTGAATGTGGGTAGAACAACTATTAACATGCAGTGAGTTGACTGTTATTACTGACATATATTAATGATGCCCAGAATCCATAATCAGAAGTTTGTTGATTTTAGCATTGTCTGATTATAGAAAAAAACCCCTGTTGTTAGTGTTGCTTTCACAGAGACTCAGTGGCTAAACTTGCAAATTTAAATTTCAGTGCGTAAGCTTCCCCAGTGGTTTCAGTGGGCTTGTGTGTGCTAACCTTAACTTAATCCCTGGCTGTATTTCTTCCTTCTGCTGCTGACAAACATGTACACTGCAGAACTTTGGAAAGGGTTTGGGGTATCATTTGGCTTGGAGTAAAAATTTTCTAAGAAAATATTTCAGAGGTGTTCCCTTCCTTAGAAGGATGAAACTGAACCTCAAGTTACTCCACAAAAAATGGGAACTGTGTTTTTGTGAACCAGGAGAACTCCCACATATGTGTAGAGAGTGCAAGTCAACAGACTGTTCACATATTTCTACCTACACGTCTGGCAATTTTGTTGCTGTCAACAGAATTGTAGCTTTGAGCTGGCTTCATGAGAAGACTTCTCAAAATTATTCTGCTTCTGCACAAAGTTGAGTTTTAACAGATCAGCATTTTCTGATCAAAGCAGGAAGAAAAGGTGAATATCTCATTCCTGATTGTTCTGCTAACAAACTGGTGATACAGGAGGTACCAAAGTGCATCCAGACCACCATCACACTTCTGTTTCAGTTGCTGGGAGTTAACAAAGTTTTCTGCATTGGGTAGATGTTCTTTGAATAAGTGTGATGGGTAATAAGTAGTATCTAGGTGAGTTATATGATATTTTGAGTTCTTATCAAGGATATCTAGTATTTAAGACAGGTTTCTGCAAATACAACACACTGAGTGAATACTCTGGTTCTTCTTCATGTGGTCTTAAAAAGCAGCATGGCAAACATAAGGGACTTTTTTTTTCCAGTACATTTTTACAGAACGTGTGAGCTTCTATCATTCCTTCCTAATAATGGGCAGTTGGTAGATATATAGCTGTTTTGAATATAATGTAATTAATGTAATTTTTATCTTGAAAATTAAAATATCTCTGTTACATAATGTGCAATCACACATCTTGCCAACATACAGAATATATTCACACATAGCTCTCCTGCATCTGACTGTTTCTCAGATTGCTCAGCATTTGCCACTGTAAGACTTTAACTTCAGCTGCCCCATAGTTTTGCCAAGCTTATACCACTGGAGTTGATATTTTCTGTATCTCTGGCATATGACTTAGATTGAATTGTCTTGGGTAACTTCAGCCTTCAATGTTTTACTCTTCTAAAGATGAAGTTAGGAAAAAATATATTGTTTGGATTTTAACAATTTGCCTACTTTTTCTTTGGAAAGGTCTAGAGAATCTATGCTTTGAAAGAAGAAATGTGTGTAATGTGGGTTTTGCTTTGTTTTAAGCAGGTTTTTTTTCTTTGTTCCTCTCTTTCTTCTGCACTCATACTTTGACAAGGTGTATGCTTTTGAAGAATATTATATTCTTTTTCAAGTTAAGCATATTCTATCTCTGTAGAACTTTCAAAGGGGAGAGGAAAATGTTCCCAGAAGTTTTTTGTCTTGGCTGGTCATGGATTACCACCACCAGTAAGATCTAAGGTTGTTTTTTAAGGTCAGTCCAAGCAGCGTGAGAAAGAAGCTGATGAAAACAAAGGGAAGAGAGGAGCTAAATGTTTGATGTAGAAAGGATCTCATGGAGTTTGCACATTACATAGAGCTTAGGGGGGATGGGGAAAACAAACCAGATTTGAAGCTGGACTGCAGAAACTGGAGAGATCCTAACTAGGATTTAATTGCTTGTGAGTTAGGGAGAAATGTGACAGCATGAAAAAGACTGGCTGTGACAAGCCTGGGGACTGGGTGAGGTTAGGCAAAGACAGCAGCTTTGTGGAAAAGGGACAGGGGTTCCTGGGGGAAAGCAAGCTAAACACAAATCCACAGTGAGCCCTGTCAGAGGCAAAGGCTAACAGCATACTGCACTGTATCAGCAGGAGTGTCACCAGTAGATTAAGGGAAGAGGTTATTCCCCTTTTATTGGGGGTGGTTGGGATAAAGTACATCCCTGTCCTGTGAGGAGGGGCTGAGGGAAATTGGTTTGTCCATCCCGGAGAAGAGGCTTGGGGGTCCTAATAAGAATCTTCTAATACCAGTTAGAAAGCTATCAAGAAAACAGAAACATATCCTTTGAGAGGGTCACAGTGGTGTGAGAAGACACAATGGGCACAAATCAAACTAGGAAATTGGTACTTGGCATAAGAAACAAAACTCGTTACCATGGTGTCATGACCCATTTGAATCTTTCAAATTTATAGGTCTATGTACTCTGTAAATTAAACTTCATCTTATGAGCTCATTAGGAAAGAAAACATGACAAACAGGGATTCAATTCACTTTGTACAGACTACTCTAACGTGAATTCACTAATTAATCATTTAAGCCATGAGGTTTCCAACTCACAAGCTTTCTAATCCATAACTCGCAACCTATAAGTTGTAACTCATGCACCTATGAGCAGAACAGTTACCTAGATGATGGGGAGAGTGCTCATCCTTCCTCCTCTGCCACAGCACAGGTGTCCCCATGAGGACAGTCAATCACTGCAGCATGTTATCCAGAGGGGCTGCGAAAAATCTGTTTGTACAGATTTCCAGCACTTTATTGGATCAATCCCTGAGCAGTGTAGTCTGAATTCAGTGTTGATCCAGCTTTGAGCAGAATGATCCCTTTCCCTTGCTGATTCTATGGTAACAAACCAGAGGATGTGCAGGGCAGAGAAAGGACTGGAAGAGGTGGGTCAGAAAGGGTCCTGCTGCAAAAGGAAGGGTGTTCATTTCCTGAGTGCAAATGAAACATGAGTTCCTCAGTGTGTGCCTCAACAGGATCAGCAAGCATTTATGTACTGCATGGGGCAGGTTCCAGTTAAGCACAGCAAGCTGCTAGTAGTCATCAGGTACTGCGTGACCTCAAACCTAGGAGTGTAAATTGAATCAAACCATGTGGCCAAGTAATAATCTTCATTCACTCGCTTGCAAGTTTCATTTGACTTTTTTTTTTGCTGCTCCACACCAATTCAGTCAGTAGATAGAAGACACTTCATCCTGTGGAAAATGGGATATTGACGTAAAATGTTTTAAGCTGAAGCCCAGACTAAATTTCAGAAATACTGGAAGGAAGTAGTAAATGTGGTAGAACATGAAAGAAGAGAAATTACGATGTCCTGTTTAAACAGAATTCTATTCCCTTTCTGTCTGTAAGAGCTGTCTGAAAAGTCGTGTTTATTTTTGCCAGATGTTGAATTTTTTTTCCTTTCTTTAAACCCGGAGTTGTTTCAGTTTTGACTTAAAACCATTTCTACCA